ACTAAGAAGAAAATGTACTTGCTGTAGTCAAGAGGAGGTTCTGGAATAGTCTAGAGGTTAGGAAACTCTTTCCTAGGGAAGTAATGATTGAAGTAAGATGAAGGGAAAGGAATAGTTTTTTAGAAGAAAGAAATTTAATCTGGGTAGGAGACAGTGCTACATATTCCATAAAGAAAACCCAAGGGTCTCAAGTACTGGGAGAAAAAAAGGAACTATGGTGTCAACTGAGACTGTAGCCATCCATGTGGAGGAGGCCTATACCTGGGACAGAATTCTAAGGTTGATGGAAAGCTTAATTTTAAGCAAGGAGCTGATATAATCAGAACTGAACTTTGGAATGAACACTAACTACAGTGTTAAAAGAGTGTTTCAGAAATTACTTAAAGAGGTAAAGGGAGTTCAGTTAGGGACCATTGCAGTAGGAGAGATACAGATGGCTTGATAGAGGGCCAGGGTGTGGAGATAGAGAAAAAGGGATGAGAGTTTTCAAGACATTGGTACATGGAGTAAGACTTGATGATAGTAGTTTAATACTGAGAAGCACCAACTGATAAGTGCACAGCACAGCTAATGAGAGGACAGGATGGATGTGACCAGTGGGCGTAAATTGACTCTACTAGATACAAAGTGCTGTCCTGTCATTTAAGCTAGGAGGAAATTTTGGGACTTTAGTGATATTATTAACTTTTATGAGGTAACAATGAAAAAAATTTCAGAAGTCTTCATGACTCTTCTGTAAACAAAATGCATATGAGCATTTCTTCCAAGAAACATTTATGCTTTTCACTGTTTTTAGTGTTTTCTCTTTATGACACAAATAACGGAGATTAAAAACTATAAAAGATGCAAAGAAAAAGTACTCCTTTACATTCCCAAACACCCTTGAGCCACTTATCACAGGTGAATAAAGAAGTTACCAAATTTTTCCGAGATTTTCAAGACATTGCCACGTTACACACACACACACACTCACATGCACACACCTACAGAATGTGTGTATATAAAAATCTTTTTCTGTGTTAACAAGATCATCTATGCACTACCTAACATATTTTTTTTTATTGTTGGGCATTCATTGAGGGTACAAGAAACCAGGTTATACTGATTGCATTTGTTAGGTAAAGTCCCTCTTATAATTGTGTCTTGCCCCCCAAAAGTGTGTCACACACCAAGATCCTCCCTCCTTCCCTCTCTCTGCTCTTCTTTCCCCCCTCCCTCCTTCTTTCTTTCTCAGCTCTCCCCTTCCCCCACCCCCACAGTGTCATTAATTGTCCTCATATCAAAATTGAGTACTTAGGATTCATGCTTCACCATTCTTGTGATGCTTTACTAAGAATAATGTGTTTCACTTCCATCCAGGTTAATACAAAGGCTGTAAAGTCGCCATTTATTTTAAGGACCAAATAGTATTTAAACATTAAACTCATAAAAATTTCCTTATTATTACTCACAGATTTAACTCATTCCTTAGTTGGAAAATGTCTCATTGTACATTATACAGGGTGGCCATAAAGTTTGTGTGCAACATTATGGCCATCCTGTATGATGTATTTTAAATTAATCATTAACTTATTGATCATTTAACTTATTAAGTCCTTTTGAGTTGTCTATGTAAACTAATCTGCATTGAATGTCTTTTACACATAACCATTAGCCATATAACCATATAACTCTTACATGGGATAAATTTTTAAAAGTGAGTTTCTGGGACAAAGAGCAAACAGATAAGTAGATACAGATATCTAGATACATAAATAGATTTACATTTGATAAATACCTCCAGTTTATCTTCTGGAAAATTTTTGCCCTTTTACATACTCATCACCAATGTCTGTTTTCTCACAGTTTTGACAACACTCAGTATTAGCAACATTTTAAAACTTTGAAAGTCTGAGCAATAAAAAAGCTGTTTATTCTTTGAAGTTTTATTTGTTTACTAATTCTGCCTGGCAATAAATTTCTTGTTGTGAAAGTGAGACTTTAAAATGTGTTTTTACTCTAAAAACAAATCATTAAGTCAGCCCAATTTTTCTTTAAAAAGTAAGGTTCTGCAGCTGCGCATAAACCTAAGCCATGACAATCTTTCTAATACCCAGCTTCCCTAAGAATCATCTTTCAAAGTTCTGTACCTTCCTCACGGAAAAGGACTATGAAGCATATATGTGTATTAATTAATTAGCTAGGGCTGCTGTAACAAAGTACCACAGACTAGGTGGTCTAATATTTATTTTCTGATAGTTCTGGAAGCTAGAAATCTGACATCAGACTGCCTGTAGAGTTCGGTGTCTTCAGCGGCCTCTCTCCTTGGCCTGCAGACAGCAACCTTACTTTGTCCTCACATACCTAGTCTTCCCTCTGGACTTGAATCCTGGTGTCTCTTTCTCTCTCTCTCTCTCTCTTTTTTTTTTTTTTTGGCAGGGGCTGGGTTTGAACCTACCACCTCTGGGCGGGCGCCTGACCCTTTTGAGCCACAGGTGCAGCCCGATCTCTTTCTTTTTCATACTTTCTCTACTTGATTAGGGCCCCACTTTAATAGCCTCATTTTAACTTATTCCTTTCTTTAAAGATCTTCTCTCCAAATACAGTTACACTCTGAGGTATTGAGGATTGGGACTTCAACATGTGGATTTTAGGGGGATACAATTCAGCCCATAACAAAAAGCACTCAACTATGTATTAAAGTATCAGGATTGTACTCCTCAAATCCCCCACCCTCAAAGGAAAAAAAAAACCTGTCTTAAAGTGCTGTGATACATTCAAAACTTTAGATAAATTAAACTTAATGGAGTTTGAGCAAAGAATGCATGAACCAGGCCGCAGTCAGAACCAGAAAATGTTCAGAAAACTCTACCCACTAATGTGCACAGGCAATACTTATAGACAGAAAAAGGAAGTGCCTAAAAATAAATAAATAAATAAATTTTTAAAAAGAAAAAAGAAAAAGTGCCTTACAAAAATAGCTTGATTGGTTAAAGTTCAGCATTTGCTTTACTAGGGCATGGTGTGTTGAGGCATTTGCCTTATATGGACATAGTCTGATCAGTTGGCAGCGTGAGATTGTGAGACTGGCTGGCACCCACCTACTATGATTGGCTGAGACTCACCTCCTTGTTACAAGAATATACTCTTAAGTGAAGCTGCGGCCTGTTCATATACCATGTCAGGTTTCTGTTGGCTATGTAGAAACTCAAAGTAGGAAGGCAGCCTCAGGCCACATTTTGTTTAATTTAATAGATGAAAGTATATTTGGTAAAGTTCTAAAGAGAAATACAGTAATAATATACCATTGTGTTAGTTTAAGAGAAAAGAGTAGAATGGCGGGGCCAGGCAGTGTGCTGAAGTCAAGGAAATAAGGATGGAGTCTGGATCCCTGAAGAAGTCCACTGGTGACCTGGGAAGGAAATCCGAGCGGTGGAAACAAAGGCTGACTTGCTGAGGCTGACGCTCATCCTTAGTGGAGCCAGGGGTGACTACAGGAAAGAAATGACCTGTGTATAGAGAGGCAAAGAAAGGAGTCTAACTAAAGCATATTTTATAAAAGAAATCAGAAGGAGATAAAAAACAAAACACAAAAAGGAGGGGCAACTTGATAGCAAGGTCCCAGAAGAGAGGTCATGAAACTCAGCTGAAGACACTACCTCTGAGAAAGAAGAAAGAATATAAAAGTTTGTAACCTGTCAAAATTCAGTGGGGATATTTGTGGTGAAAAACTGCTGCTTTTAAATAATGCTTATAAAAAGACAGCCAGGTACCTGTTTAGAAAAAAGAAAAAGAAAACACATCTAGTAACTTTACAAATATTTCGGTGATTTACTTGTGTAATCAGTAGTAGCCCCAAAGGAGAGCTTGAAAAAAATAAGAAAACCTTATTCTCTACAATCGTTACGAAGTCAAGTCACTTTTCAAACTCTTCCTGTATCTCAGTATTGTATGTGCTATACAAAGCTACGCAAAAGCAGAGAGCAAATCTCTTGTTACTCTTCCACCTAGATTTTCACCTTTCGACTCCCAAGCAGAAGCCGGTCTATAGCTTTAGCTTAATTTCTTTAGTCATGTGCGGACGTGTCTGTCTCCGTGATGTCACAGGTACATTTCCTTCCCAGAAATAATATCCCTGAGGAAGACTCCTGTTAATACTCTGAAGCAAAACCTGGCGGGAGTGCATGCCCCTGAGCTGACCACCAGGGGGCAGCTCCTCCATACAGGAGCTCGCGGGGCGGGGGTGAGGTGGCAGCCGCGGGCTCTGGAGCGCCACACCCCAGGATCGGAGGGAAGGGATCCCGATTCCATACGGGGTCTCCGCCGTGAGTTATGTTGTGTGGGGGAAATTATTCGTCCAGAATATGATCTATTGAAGTCTTGGAGTTTGCTCTTCTTGTCAAGTGCGATAGCAACCTTGAGAGCTTCCTCTTGGGTCTACGAACCCTCGACGAGTCTTGGGGAGCTGCTTTGGGTACTCAGACTTCGGAAGGGAGAGGGATTCCCTCCAACCGGAAGGGTGGGGCTACAGCCTCAGAAAAGCTGCCAGAGCTTGATGCACCGCCCAGGTGCGGAGGGCGGGAGAATTAGAGGAGGTGGCCGCCCGCGCCAGAGCCCCGCCTCCGGGAGGCCCCGCCTCCACCACACCGCTGCCCCGCCCTGTCACCGATACAGCTCCGCCTCTGAACCACCCCGCCTCCATGACGGCCCCTCCTCTACAACCGCCCCGCCTTCAGGACTGTCCTGCCTTAGATACAGCCCTGCCTCTGGGATCGCACCGCCTCCAAGAAGGCCCTACTCCAACCTCCAACACCTCTGCGACCTCCCGGCCTCCGGGACGGCCCCGCCCCCACAAGCTACCCAGTCCCGCCCCACCCCGCCTCATATTTAGGCCCGCCTCTGCGAGCGCCCCGCCTCTACGAGCGCCCCGCCTCCGGGACTGCTCCGCCCCCGACGCTGCTCCACCCCGCTTCCCATGCAGCCCCGCCTCTGCCAGCGGCCCGCCTCTGGGACCGCGCGCTGCTGGGTGAAGAACCGGTCTCCAGGGATTTCGACTACCTCGGCGTGAGTTTTCTTATCCTAGCGCGTTTTGGGATTGGGGATGGTGGCCTAGCAGAGGCATGCAGGGTGCCATTCCCGGCAGTCACGGTGTCCATTCCTCCCTTAGGTCTAGGGTATTTGTTTCATTTCGCTTTTTTCAGTCTGATGCTATTCTCTGTCTGAAAACATACTTCTCTCTCCTCTTTGAACTTTTGAATCCCGAATTTGACAAAGATATACGTGGCGTGTGAGTTCGCGCGTACAAGCGCAAGCGCATTTAGTTAAAGAGTGGTGGGATCCGCATTCTGGGACGTATTACTCATCCAAGGGTTTTGTTTGTTGGTTTTTCCCTGTCAAACTAAGGAAATCCCAGAAATGAAAAACTCCCCTTGTCTTCTGAGGGAGAGGTAGTTAGCACGAACTCAGGCTTCCTGATTTCTCTCTGCTGCCTTTTTCCTACCCTAAATCTGAGATCACGCCCCCACAGGCCCGGTGCTCCAGGTCGGGGCGAATTCTGTTATGAATTCACCTTCCTGGGAGCAGTATTAAGAAAAAAGTGGTAGATGGGAAAGGAATTGACGGAGAAGGAATGCTACGGGAAATACAGAGTGCTCAGGGATGCCGAGTCTACTAGAGATTTTGTGGAAGAAATTAGGAAAAAAGTTTAGTATCCGCGGTATAAACCAGCTGAGACACTCAGCAAATTTTACCTTTTATAGGAAGTGGTTGAAATATGGGGAGCTAAAAGCGTATTGACTTAGTCTAGACATGATTGCTAACTAAAGAGACTGACGTTTGAGGGTGATGGTGAGAGAAGGCTAACAAAATGAGGAGGCTGACGCTGACTCTGCATAACGAGGGGAGGTGGGTGTTACTCAAGGGATAGCGATCTGTCTTAGTTTACATTCTTCCTGCACGTGTTGTTTTGGGAGGTGAGCCCAGAACAGCTGGAGTAAGGGAGTAGGAAGAATGAAATAAGGAAAGAGAGAAAGCCGAGAAAGGGATGTGGCCGAGTTGTCCGCAGTTCACTCACATACCTAGAGTTTGGTTCTTCCGGGACTCTGAGAAACAATAGAATAGGCCTCAGGACAGCCACTGGGCATTTTACCTTACTCCCTCTGCCACTGGGTGAAGCTCACCCAGAACAACTCACTGGCCGTCAGGGCTGCCCTGCACAGCTGCGGAGATGAGACGCGTCTGAGTCCTCAGGAAAGTCCCTCCCAGTAGGCTCCTCTCAGGGCACCCAGCATATCTGCTACGTTGCCCTTGGCACTTGCAGAAACCAGAAAGGGCCGCCAAGGCACAGGCATTTGCGTTTACACACTGCTCACTGTGTGTGTGTGACAACTCTGGAGAAGGCATTTTTATATGTACTCTTTTTGTTGGGAGTTGGGGGTCCTGAACCCAGTAGACCTGGTTCCATGACTTGTCTGAACTAGAATGTTCAACTGAGGCACTGTGAGAATCAAAAGCAAAAGTGACTGGACGTTGAAAATAAAACTGGAGCAGCACAGACAGCGTGAATTGAAAGCAAGAGTAACCTGCACAATTCTCAGGGTAGCAAAGAAAAAGAGAAAGTTTGAAGCACTTCCAAAGAGAGTTGGAAGTGGGTTCCTCTCAGGAAGGAGAGGAGTGAGAGACAAAGACACAAAGGCAGGGCAGAGGTGTAAATAACTCTTTCTCTCCATTTAAAATTGGTTGTAACTCTTTCATTGGCTTCTCTGTGCCTCCAGGCATTATTGTCCTTTTCTACTGGTCATTGATTATTGTCTCTTTCTATTGGTCATTGGCCACCTAAGTGACCTCATGCCCACATTCTTTCCCCTTTTTTGGCAAGAACTGCAGAGGGAGGGTGGCACCTGTGGCTCAAAGGAGCAGGGCACGGGCCCCATATGCCGGAGGTGGCTGGTTCAAACCCAGCCCTGGCCAAAAACTGCAAAAAAAAAAAAAAGAAAGAAAAGAAAAGAAAGAAAGAAAGAAAAAGAAAAGAACTGCAGAGGGGTGAATGTTCCTATGGGTTCTCCAGACTTCATTATTCAGCAGGCCAGGCTTTCCTCCCATTCCCCTTGAAGCCTCTTTCTCAGTGTCCCTTATCACTTTCAATCTTTAAAAACAATCCTCCACGACTCACATTATTCTCTTTCTATAGCTGAGGCTTAAGTCATTTGTCCAAAAGGAACTGTTTTGAAGGGAGCTCAGTTTTAGGGATATTGAATTTTAAAAGACTTCGGGACACTGCAGGATGCCATACAAGAGAGGTGAGGAGGATTTCTCCATTAGGGAAGACTTTATAAATTGGGACACATTTCCAACTCATATGGTGGAAATTCAGTTTCTGACAGGTCATGTGACCATTTTATCCGAAGAAATCTAACACTAAGTCAACTCACACGTGTCAACTTAACTGTCACCTTTATCTTCCAAGCCCTGCAGGATCTGGCCTTCCCCTCACCCCACTGTGGGTACTGTTCCTGCCTGTGCCTTGCTCTAAGCCACCTTGGCCCTTCTCTTGTGCTCCCCCCCCCCCCAGCATTTTGGGCTTTAGCTTCAATGTCACTTTCTCATAAAGGCCTTTTCTGTCCCCAAAAGTAGTCATCCAGTCATTTCATATCACATCATTGTTTTATTTTCTTCAAGCAATTAATGGCTGCATTTTATTTATCTGTGTATTTTCCTATTTATTCATTGTCCCTCTAAAATATTTGAATCATGAAAGTGGAAACATTGTTTGTTTTATGTTTTGCTGAATACCCAGTGTTAAAAGAGTGCTTGGCTCATGGTAAGGAGCCCAATGTAATTTATTTGTTGTTCTTTTCACTTGTTTCTTCATCTGTTCTGATCAACCTGAATGTTGACTTTCCCCTGCAGCAGCTGATAGAATCATGGCAACAACCCCTGCTACTGCTTTTGAGGCCCTCATGGAGGGAGTGACAAACTGGGATGTCCCCAAAGGTCCCATCCCCAGTGAACTCCTTCTTATTGGAGAAGCTGCCTTCCCAGTAATGGTGAATGACAAGGGCCAGGTGCTCATTGCTGCATCTTCCTATGGTGAAGGCCGGCTGGTGATCTTACCCCATGAAGGCTACCTGCTACATGCTGGCCTGGCTCCATTTCTTCTTAATGCTGTGGGCTGGCTGCGCCCCTCCCCTGGAGCTCCCATTAGAGTCCACACATCCCTGGCATCACTAGTGAACATCCTGCAGAACTCCGGGATTGAAGCCCAGACTGCACCAGAACCAGGAGAGGGCCTGGGGGTTTACTGCACCAGTGCCTATGATAATGCCATGACTGCGACGCTGATCCAGTATGTGAAACATGGAGGGGGCTTGCTCATCGGGGGCCAAGCCTGGTATTGGGCTAGTAAGCATGGTCGTGACAAGGTGCTGTCCACGTTCCCTGGGAACAAGGTGACAAGTGTGGCTGGAGTGTACTTCACTGACATCTGTGGAGACAGAGGCCGGTTCAAGGTCTCTAAGAAAGTGCCCAAGATTCCACTCCATGTCAGGTGAGTGTCTGTTCCCCATTAGGGAGTTGATGCTCTCTTCAACACACTTCCATTTCAATTCAGATGATTTTCCACTCAGTTTTGAGACTATCACAAATCAAAAGCAGGATAATTAAAATGTACCCAGATACAAGAGGAACTGAGTCCTCACTGCCACTCCTCCCTGAAAGGTTCTGGACCTAAGGATAAAATCATTCCTTGGGAAGTGAAAGGAAAGCAGAGATCTAGTTCATATAAAGTGACCTTTATTCCACCTAGAGTTTAGGTAGGATGAGATATCTGACCAGGGAGAAATCTACACATGGGCTATGGCAGACAGGGATTTAAAGGGTTAGGGCCACCAGGATTGGTGGCATTCCTATTTCCTGGGTGGGCCATGAACCTGACCCACCCTGGACAGGGCAAGTTTATTTGGGCAGGTTCCTGATTCTGTCACTCCTTATGGTCAAAGCAATAATCAGCTGGATAGAAAAGCTTTTTTCACTCACCATGTTATCTCCATGTTCCTGGAATACAAATCTTAAATAAATGAGGGAACATATGTTTTCATGAGCACCTTCCAGTGGTCAGACCCTGACGTGTTCTAAAAGAGACCAAAGAAGATAAATAATGCTGTCCTGAGGCTTATATTCCAGTGTAGAATTAGGCCGTTAAGGAAACTGATGCGTACTTTATCAGAAATTGATAAGAGCTCAGAGGGAAAACAAAGCAAGAGTTAGGGTTAGGGTACAGGTTAGGGTACGGTTAGCATTAGGACAAAGAGGAGCGGGGAGGTTTTATTTAAAGTCTTCAGGGAAGTCCTATCCATCAGACTGAGTTGATTTGTCAGGATTTTTTGATGTTTCAAGCAGAAGGGATTTTGTACAGGGAATTGACTAATGCAGATGATGGAAGAGTTGAGAAGCCACACAGGGAGCAGCGGATAACTGAGAGATTAGTAACAGCTAGACTGAAAGAGGGAGGTGTTACTGGAATACAGGTGCTGTGGCTGCCTGGTTAAAGCTGGAGCCATCTTGGCCTGTTTAGCAGAAGCTGGAAACACTGGTAGAAGTCTGTCTGGTGGTAGCCAGAGTCTCATAGACGATACCATGGTTACTAGGGACACTGTCTGGAGAGAGAAGCACAGACTTTGGCTCCTTGGTCCCTCCTTCCCCACTTCAGTCTTCTACCTCTGCCTCTCAGCCCTGGTAAACTGAACCACCAGGATGCAAGGAGGAGGGCAGCCTGGGAAATATAGTTCCCTGCAACTCAGAGGATGACCAAGAAGAGCGGCAGAGGAGTGAGTGAAAATAAGCAAATAGTTTGAGAGGCTTTTCTGATAGGTGACTTTGAAAAGAGACCTGAAGAAAGTGAGGGAATGAGCCAGTATGCATTTATGAAAGAGGAGAAAGGGTGAAAACTTGGAGCAGAAGCCCACTTGGTATATACAGGAGCATCAAGGAAGCCACAGTGACACAAGCAGAGTGAATGAGAGCTGGGGTCATCTATACCAAGAGGTAGCATTTCAAATCCATGCATAGTGAGATGGGAAAGCATTTTGGATTCTGTACAAAGAATGGATAAGGTGTGACTTATACAAGGAGCCTTCTGGTTGATGGTAGAGAATAGACTGTAGGAGGCAAAGGTTGAAGCAAGAGACTGATCAGGAGGTCACCAAAATAGACTAGATGAGAGGGGATGGTGACTGGATGAGGGGGATAGCAATGGAGCTCCTGAGAAGAGATTGATTCTGGACACATGTCAAAGATAGACACAACAGCCTTGGCTGATGGCCTGAATATGAAGCAAGCCTGAGAAAGAGGAGTTAGGATTTTTGTTATAAAATACTTAGAGAAATGAGATACCATTTGTGAAGCTGTGAATGATGATGAGAAAATGGATTAAAGGAAATCAGGAATTTAATTTCAGATATTTGGGGTTTGAGATATTAGTGACTAAGTGCATTTGGCAATTAGTATCAGAAGCATAACTGTAGTGTATAACAATGTGGGGATTGATTTTTCTCATGTAATGTGAAGCCCATGTAGGTAGTCCAGACCTGTAACTGTTACTCAAAAACATTCCATGGTCACTCTTTTTCTGTTTCTCCCTCACTCTTTCATCCCTGCCTCCCATCATGTGCTGTATTTATCCTAATGGTAAGAGATGGCCATTGCTACTTCAGATACTATAACTACACGCAGACAGTATAAGCTGGTATGGATATACCTGAGTTGGTCCCTTCTAATTTAGAAAATCATATTTTCTAAGGTCTAATCATTAGATTTCCATTGATATTTTAGTGGCTAAGCCTACGGTAGATCATATGGTCAACCCTAGCTGCCAGGGGTCTGAGGGGCCAGATATTTTTACTGGAATCTCTGCAGAAGTCAAGATTCTGCTACAAGGAAGAAAGGGCATACACATGCCAGTGAGCAGTTGGCAGTGCCCCGGACCCTTAGCCCCAAGCCCTAAGCCTTTTGGAAGTCCTAATTTTCTGGAAGGGTGAGAAAGATGATCTTCATATTCAGAGACATTAGGGTGGATCTTTTTTTTTTTTTTTCCAACTTCTTTTTCTTCTAGTATTAAGGAACAAACAACTTAAATCATGTCAGTGTAATTTCTCTTAATTGCCCCAGGGAACTTTCCTCTCCAGCAAACTAAACCTGTTTTTCTTCATCTATACCTGTATTCTCCATCACTGAATCTGGAGCTTTAAAAAGAAATTTAATTATGGAAAATTTTAACACATACAAAAGCAGAGAGAGTGGTATAATGAACCCCCATGCAGCCCTTACCCAACCCGGTTATAGTCAACTCCTGGTCTGTTTTAGCTCATCTCATCTATGGCCCCACCCATCCCCACCCAAGGATATTTTGAAGCAAATAGCAGGCACTGCATTATTTCATCTGTAATAATTTAAATATAGGGTATATCTCTAAAGATATGAACTCCTTTGAAACCATAAGGAACCATAACACCTAAAAGAATAATTCCTCAATGTTGTTATTTCTGTGATTGTCTTATAGTATTTTTCAAAATTTTTTTAGCATAGTTTTTAAATAAAGCCCAAATATTTTTATTTCTTCATATGACTTTTATGTCTCTTGTGGGATATGAGGTATACTTTCCAACTCTTCATCTTACACTTTTGTTGTTGAAGGCACCAGGTACTCATTACTCAATAGCATAGTACTATGTGCTGATTCCGTCCACATCGTGTCATCGTTTTGTAATCCTTTTTTCTCTGTATTTCATGTAAATTAAAAGTTAAATCTAGATTTTATGTCAAGATGGATAAACTAAAGCCTGTAGGCTAGCCCCCTTTTTTTGTAAATAAAGTTTTATTGGAACACAGCCATTCGCATTCATTTACAAATTGCGTGTAGCTGCTTTCAAGATAGTGGCAAAGCTGAATAATTCCAAGGAAGACCTCATGGCCTACAAACCTAAAATGTTCGTCTGATTATTTTAAAAATGGGAGGCCAAAGTGGGAGGATCCCTTGAGCTCAGGAGTTGGAAATCAGCCTGAGTAAGAGTGAGACCCTTTCTCTACTAAAAATAGAAAAACTAGTGGAGTATTATGGCATGTACTTGTAGTGCCCAGGGAGGCTGGGGCAAAAAGATCACCTAAGCCCAAGAGATTGAAGTTGCTATGAGCTATGATGACAGTGCCATAGAACTCTACCCAGGGTGACAGAGTGAGACTCTGCCTCCAAAAAAAAAAAAAAAAAAAAAAAAGAAAAGAAAAGAAAAATGTTCCCACTCCCGATCTAGAGCCTTTATAGGTAATAGTTTATACTTCTATTGGATAGAACATAATGTCTGATTTTTCTTTTTTGCTATGGTCTTAGCAGTCATTAATCACTGCTTAGTCCTAGATCCATTAATTTATTAGTGGTTAATAAAATGATGGCTTCAAAATTCTAGTATTCCCTTTATTTATTATTTGGAATAGTTCTATAAAACAAATTTCCATTCATCAACAATTTGCTGGCTCGGCGCCTGTGGCTCAAGTGGCTAAGGCGCCAGCCACATACACCTAAGGTGGCAGGTTCAAATCCAGCCCGGGCCACCAAAAACAATGATGGCTGCAACCAAAAAAAATAGCCAGGTGTTGTGGTGAGCGCCTGTGGTCTCAGCTACTTGGGAGGCTGAGGCAGGAGTTGGAGGTGGCTTGAGCCCAGGAGTTGGAGGTGGCTGTGAGCCCAGGAGTTGGAGGTGGCTGTGAGCTGTGGTGCCACGGCACTCTGCCCAGGGGGATAGCTTGATGCTCTGTCTCAAAAACAAACAAACAAACAAACAATTTGCTTACCTTGTGGTATAGTTTTTATAGGAAAGGCAAGATAAACACTTATTTATCCTTGTCTTCCATTTTTAGACCAGTTTTCAAAATATTGAATCATTCCCCTGGTGTCTTCCAAAGGTCAACAATGTTTAAATTTTTTATCATTTTTTTTTAGTATCATTACTATAACAAATTAATTCATGGATTGAAACACAAAGTGTTTCATTTATTATTTTTCTTGATGCTGAAATTGTCCCATGTTTGGCTGTTGTGAGCCAATTCAAGTTGAGTCCTGAATCTTTTAGACCCTACTTTAAGAAGATTCCTTCTTGCTTTTTAGTGTAAGAAGTTTTGGTCTTGTTTTACTCATTTCCTGCTCCCAGCCTAGGATCAGACATTTCTCAAAGAAGCCTTGTTGTTTTCTTTTTTCTTTCTTTTTTTATTGTGTTAAGATGTTTATATTCTACTCTTAGAAAGATTCACTTGTACCCTTGTAAGATAAACCATAGGAGTGGTTTTCTTAGTGGGAAATTGGGTTTAGAAACTCAAATCCAGAGTTAGAGGTGTACATTGCTTTTAAGTTTATCATTGTTTCTAGGTTTTCTGGCGAGGCAAAAAGAAATAGCTCTTTTTAAAAAGTAAATCCATCAAAAGTTCGTACTCATACTTCAAATTCAAATTTGGGACTACAGGGTTTTTATTTAATTTCAACACTCTTACATTTGTGTCTCC